GGTGAGGCTTCAATTAGGCATTCATGTCGATGGCACACCAATACGGACAGTGAACAACCCAAAAATTATATGGGTCACTTTTGATAGCTTGCTCTCCTTCTCGCGCACACAACCGCAGTTGTCAACAAAGTACAGAGCCGCAACAAGGTGCTTAAGTCGCTCGCCGACAGCACCTGGGGCAAAGACAAAGAAACGTTGCTGGCAACATAAAAAGCAATTGACCGGCCGGTTCTAAACTATGCTGCACCTGTTTGGTCGCCGGGGACAGACTTGCCAGAACGCCGCACTCCGGACACCGACAGGGTGCCTTCTGACGTCGCCTGAGCACCACCTACACAGCGATGCTAAAACAGTTTCCGTAAGGGACCACAACGAAATGTTCTATAAACAGTTTCTGGTGGGGTGCCATTGCCATGGCCCAATTACGGTCTGGATACTGCAGACGCCTCATCAGCTACGTGTCTAGACTTGACTCCAATATCCGCGATGAGTGTGGAGACTCCGCGAACGACTCCCACCACCTCTTCACATGCCAGCTCAATCCCACTCAACTAACACCCCTCTCCTTTTGGTTCGACCCTATTGAAACTGCTCGTCTCCTGGAGGGAAATTATTGATGGATGAACCGAAATAGGCGGGGCCTATTAGTGCCGCTACAACAATAAATAAACATTGACAAGATGAAACGCCGTTCAAATCCGCCCTAACATACAGAAGTGTATTGAGAATAAAGTGGAATGTGCAATGTACTATCTACATAGGAGCGGAGGCTGAAAAATTTTGAGCCTAAGTACCTCTAAGTATCATGAATGTCTTTTGCTGCATGTCACTAATTGTTTAGTAGTATAAATATAAAATTACATGTCATTAACATAATTACGGTTGCAGAAATTGAGTCGTAAACATCACCATGAGGGATTCAAACGTCATCAAATTCCTCACAGATAAGAACAAAACACCGACGGAAATATTTTGAAAAGATGTCTTCAGTTTATGAAGAGGCTGTACCTTTATTTGCTACCCCTAACTATTGGAGCCGTGAATTCAAGCATGGCAGGGACTTGCTGGAAATTGATTCCAGGTGACAGCGGCCAAATAATGCCATTACCGAAGAAAATATTGGAAAAGTAAAAAAAAACGTGTTCTAGAAGTTCGGCGAATCAAGTTGTGGCAGATAGCCATTGGACCAGCAGCGCCGAGTTACAACTTCGCAGACATCTTTGGACGTCTGTTACGCTAATCGGGGCGACATTTTTTCTCGCATTGTCACTGTGTATGACGTGTGGATCCGGTATTATAATACCGAATTAAAACAGAAGTCTATGCAGTGGATACAAGAGGGAGAAAAGCCAGCGCGGAAGTTCAAGGTGGAAAGGAAATGGATTGTGAGTTATTCTGTTCATCGACTTTCTTCCTGAGAAAACTACAATTAATTGTATGTCGTAAACTTTAAACACCTAAAAAATATATTAAAGGGGTACGTAAAGTACCATCAAAGTCATATTATGAATTTTTGCAGTGTTAAGTAATACTTGGTTGTCGTTTCAAGTTCTCTAAGCATTTATTTAAGCTTTTAAAGTTTACGATATACAACAATACGACACTTACGGTACCTTTGTGAATGCCTCCAATGAATGCAGACTAGTATGTCGCATTGTTGACAAAAGTGTGTCTAGTGTTTGTAGAGAAATGTAGAGGCAAACTTACCAAAGGAGTCCTGCTGTTGCAAGACAGCAACTGGCCAAGACGAGCAGTAAAGCATGTTACTCGGGTGTACGTGGCGTATGAGTAACTTTCTTAACTGCTAATTTTTCATATAAAAAATCTTTGAGCATTTTCATTTGACCACTCATTATTTCGTATTTATCCATCGATTTTCTTCATCACTAACTTGATTCTTTATTTAGGCTTTAATACTAATGCAAAAATTTCGCACAGAACCTGTTATTTTTTAAATTTTTCTTCTGTTAAAGCTTGATTTTTTTCAAGTTTTCATTAAAAAATAAAAACAGCTGGAATGATTAATTAATTTGTCTGAAACTATAAGCCTTATCGGAAAGTGATGTATATACGGATTTATTATAGAGAATTTCATTGGCTTTCATTTGCCGTAATTTATATTAAGATTTTTAATTTGGTTCGTAAGATATACGTGATTAAAATGAACCAATTTTTGCTTTAAGCTATTCAGCAACGGTAAATTGCAAATATCTTGAAAATGTATCAATAGAAAAAAAAATTAACTCGATTTGCGGAATCACGGAGCAATTCTACATAGGAATTGGATAGTGGCATCCATAGAACATTTTTGCTGTAAACCAGTGATAACAGAAAAGGTATATTTGAGCCACAGGGCGTATGAGTAACACATTTTTTTTGACAGCTCAAAAAAATCTTACAGAGCGATTCTAGCAGCCGTATTTCAACTCATCGCCGTCCTTCGCGGTCGGTAGGATAAATTTATCAACTCGTTTGCGAGTTTTATCTACTTTAGTTATATTTCTTTCAAATAAAAAAGAACTTTTCTTCTTAGTTATGCAGCACCGAAGCACTATCACATGAAATAAGTACAAGTAAAATAAAACACGTTTAAATACTTGTAAATACGTACAAACTGCTAAAACAGCTGATATTGTTATGCCATTGTAATGTGTTGGTAAATAAATATATACACATGCGCATACAGATACGCCGACATTTTAAATGGATAACACGTGTGCTGTTTTGTAGAGGGAAAAGAATAAAAAAAAAACTTGTAAAAACGAGAGAAACGGCGTTGAGTGCAAGAGCGCGTACTTACATACATTTGTCGAAACAATAAGCTAAATTTATAAGTTCTCCACCCATCAATGTTACGCAATCTCAGCAAACCACTGAAAAGCAACAACATTGTTATCCCTCATAACAACAACTTTACAGAATCTGCAGAAATAAAAACAAATACAGACATGCGTATTGAAAAATAGAGAATAGAGGCGGCGAACCATTAAAGGTGAAGGAGTCGGTATACCGCTCCTTCGAAGCAATTGGTTTTGTGGGCGAGAGCGCAAAAATTTAAATGGAACAATTTCAAAAGTTCTATGCTTTCATAAAAAAGGCAAAAGAAGAAGAAGAAGAAAGAGAAGAAAAAACAAAAGTTATAAAGTAGCATTTAAAAAAAAAAAACAACGATAGTAAATGGTAATTTTCTAAATCAGCAGTGAGCTTGCTCCGGATTTGAGAAAACGCACGCACAACCTCAGGAAACTCAAAGCATGCACGCACACACGCGCAAACATGTATAGTATATGCAGCTACGAATATGTATGTGTGTAGGTAAGCGTGAATGGACATATAAGGTGAGCGGAAGGTGTCTGACAAGGCCAGGAAAGCTATGCAGACAGGAAATTTAGGTGAATGGTTGAGCGATAAGCGGAAAATGCTGAAATGAAAGGTGAAATAAAAATTAATAGAATTGGAAAATAAGTAATTTGTATACAAATTTTTTGGTAACAATTTTCATTTGTGGGCAGGAGAATTGTCGTAAATTTTTTAGTGCTATTTTATGTAAAAAAAATTAGTTTGGTCAAATTTATTGCGCATACTAATGAATCAACGAGTACAACGTGATAAGTGACATTTAACTAATGATGAATTCTGATTTCATGAACTACATACTAGCTATATATACACATACAGTCAGCGCCAAAAATATGCATACCTTGATGTTTTGACGATTTATTTATTTACATATATTTTTGCTACCAAATTTTCCTTATCTTTTATAAAAATATAGTTCATACAACGGCAAAAACTTTTTTTTTATTTTACACAGAAAAAATGCAAGAAATTTGCATCGAAATTTTCAACTCGATTTCTAAAAAAACACCTTTCAAGTCGCTAAAAGTTACCGCTGATTTTTGAGAATTTTTTTCTCGAGGTTATTGCGCATTTTGTTTGATATAACGCATCAACAAAATCGATTTTTTTATGGAATCAAATGCGCAGCACCCTCAACAAAAAAATCTCAAAAATCAACGGTAATTTTTAGCGACGCGAAACACGCCCTTGTTTAGACATCGAACTGAAAAGTTGAAAATTTCCATAAAAAGATTCATATGAAATTGAAAAAATGTTTATTGTGGCTTTTGCTGGGGAATGAACTATATTTTTATAAAAAAATTAGAAATATTTAGTATGGAAAATATAAATAAATAAAATTGTTAATATGTCAGGGTATGTATAGTTTTGACGCTGCCTGTATACAAACATTTGAGACATTATTTTTTAAGTTGGCCAGATTTCTTAAAAAAAGATGCCACGTCTCCGATTCGCTTCGAATTTTTTTTCTTTTTTTTTCTTCGGAGATATGATCTGTAAAAGTTCGAATTTTTCGTGACTCTGACCAATCGTGTACTTCTTCAAATCGTTGTGTCTTCGGTTCTGCTTAACGTCGTTTTAAAGCTAAAGAAACGAGCTTCACATTTCCAAGTATAAAATGGGCATGATTGTCCTAAAGTTAATTTAGCTATTAACAGTTGAACTTTGTGAAGTTTATTTGCATACTGAAGACCAGTAAATGAGGTATTTAAAATTACACCAACGTAATCCTTGTTTAATTCTCTATAGAAAAACCTCACACACATCACAGGCAGCATCAAATCACATCAGAGTACATCACACCGAATCACATCAGATCACATCACATCACATCACATCACATCACATCACATCACATCACATCACATCACATCACATCACATCACATCACATCACATCACATCACATCACATCACATCACATCACATCACATCACATCCCATCACATCACATCACATCACATCACATCACATCACATCACATCACA